ACGCGCCCTGGTCAACATCTACGACCCGCAGGTCGTCGAGGAACAGATCTGGCTCGACCTCGGCGAGGCCATTCCCGCCGTCCCGCTCGACGGCATCAAGAAGCAGATCAAGATCTGCGGCAGCGCGCTCGAGGCGTGCCGCGACGCCGAGGCCATCGTGATCGCGACCGAGTGGAAGGAGTTCAAGGAGATTGACTGGAGCGAGGTGTACCAGCACATGAAGAAGCCGGCGTTTGTGTTTGATGGGCGGCTCCTTGTCGACGCGGAGAAGCTCACCAAGATTGGGTTCAAGGTCTGTTTGCGTCGTTTCGTTTCTTTTTGCGTTTCGCTGAAGCGTGCATTCTCTAGGTCACCACCATCGGCCGCCCTGCTCTCGGCTGAAAATTAGAATAGTTACCTTAGATCTTTCTGCTCGGACATTGTGGATACGAAATGCGAGTGCAGATTTAGAGCATTGTATTAACGGGATACCCGCGAGTCTTAGAGAACTCCATAGAATCACAATCAGTCAGGATCGAGATTCATCGCGATCGCGATGCGACATAAGAGAGGTTCTGTTCCATTCATTTTCTATAACTACAAGGATAGGATACGGATACGGTTTAGGTACCAAGCCAGGTAAGGATAAGCGGTCGTAATAAGTGAAGTGAATAGAGACGAGAAACGAAACAGCGTCGTGGGTGGTGGATAAGTTATCAGAGCCGTGTGCTCTACGGATGTTTGCGGTTTGTGGTATCTGGTCTATCGTCAAGCGGAAGCGGGCGGGACGACTGGCATTGCGGCGTCGACTTGCATCGGCGCAGGGGTAGGATTCGGCGCAGGAGTGGGGATGGGATTCGAGGTCGATGCAGGGGAGGCAGGACCCAGCGAGGCCATGGGCGGCGCCGCTCGTTGGATGTCGACTTGCGGCTGTTGGGAAGCAGGAGTAGGACCAGCGGGAGCGGCAGTGGCAGGAGGATTCGATGCCGGAGCAGGAGTAGCGGTAGCAGCGATGTGATTCGATGCGGCGATGAGATTCGAGATCGAATTCGAATTCGAAGTCGCCTTGGGAGCAGGCGCGGCGGAAGTCGGTGCAGGTGCAGTCTGTGCCTGTGCCTGTACCGCATTTTGGCCCTGGGGAGTATATTGCGGGGGCATCTGGGGATAGTACGCCGGCGTGGACGTCGGGCGGTAGAACTGCGGCGACCACGGCTGCGCCCCGGCGTAGTACGAATTCATCGGCGCGTAGTGCGTGCTGGGGGGCGCAGCACGGGTGGCGGCGGAGCCGGTATTGCTATCCGAGTTCAGGATCGTACCGGGGCTCGCGCTGGGGGTGGTGTTGGCGGCGGGCTGGGCGCTCGTGGCGGGTGGATACGCCGCCACAGTGGAGCCATATCCCGCGCCCCAGTACTCGTACTTGAACACGCCGTAAGGGTTGTGCGGCTGGGTTTGGGTCTGGGCATGGCCCGGCGCCGAGTGCTTTTGCTGCTGATGCTGATTTGAGGCCGAGGCCGTGGCGTTAATTGAGGAACGCGATGCAGATGCGGGAATAGTGATCACATTCTGCGGACGCGAGGCCGTCGCGCCAGCCCAATGTGCATGGACATCCGGAGCAGCGGTGATTGTTATAGGTGTGGTGGTGGTGCTGGGCTGAGTATTAAAATCCGGCACTGCGTCTGTTGTTAGTACATGGTACGTACAAAAGTGGAGGGAAGGACAGACCCTGCGTTGTCGGCAGACTGGTCTGCCCCATGATTACTGCGCCCCATTTGAACTCGCGCACCTCGCCCTGCGTGTCCCAGAGCACCTCGACGCTGCGGCGGTCCTCGTGCACGCGGACGAGCGTCACCTCGAAGACGCCCGCACTCACGCGGATCTTGATACGCGAGAGAGGCGGGAGCGCGAGGATGTCTGTGCGCAGGCCCTCGGCCTTGTTGGCGCGGCGTTCGGCGACGATTACCTGCGAGGGTGTCAATGGACGCTAATTAAAAAAAATGAGAAACGCACGGGATTATGCTGCGAGCAGAGCGCCTCGACCTCCGTCTTCCTGATCACCTTGAGCACGCGCAAATTCGGTTCCTCGCCCAGCGGCGCAGTGGGGTCCGCGTTAGTGGCTACGCTCGTACCGGAGACGGGCTCAAGCAGGACGACCTAGAACGATTTGGCTATCACAAATGATGTCGATGGAAATACTGACCTCCTTCTCGACGTCGCGAATAACGGTGTACGCGATACCAGTGCCGTTGCGCGCGCCGTTTTTGGCGCAGGAGATGTGGAACGCCTTGGGGCACTTGCCTTTCGCGCACTGGATGAGCGCACCGTGAGCTTTGGGGCGTGCACGCGTGCAGGCGGAGCATTTCTGTGAACCAATGTTAATTATCGTTATAAAACGGAAAAGAGGCACACTCACGAGACTCCACCGGGGGCGGACGATGCCATCGACACCAAAAACGACGCGCTCGCCGTCGATCTCGTCTACCCACGTCTCCGGGAGGACGAGCGCGCAGCTCTCATGCGCCATCCACACGCCCTTGCCGCCGGCCGCGCTGCCGGGCGCGGAGGGGAAGTGGATCCACGAGCCGTTCTTCCCGGCGGGCTGGGGGAAGTGTACGCGCGCGGCGGGGGCGAGCTCGCGCCATGTGGGGGGTAGGTCGTGCACGCGCGCCAGGCCTTGCAGGGAGGGGTCGATGCAGATGCAGCAGGGGTATGTTGTCTCGTCCACACCTGGAGAGGCGGAAGCGGAGAGGGAGGAGGGCCCTCCAGGGGGACGGGGCCCAAGCTTGAGGGTGAGCTTCTGGCCGCCGGGGGGATGGGATGGGTAGGCATGCGAAGAGGATGATGGAGACAGAGACGAAGAAGCGAACGAGGCGGGGGCGATGGGCCGCGGGCCGGCGATGCTGATGGTGATGGGCTTGGGTTTGGGGTGCGAGCGCTGGTGGGAGGAGGAAGAGGAGCTGGAAGCGACGCGCGCGCGCTTTGCATCGGGCTCGATTTCGAAGGGCGCCGTGGGTTTGCGTTTGCGTGGACTGCGCTTCGCGGCGGTGACCGATTCAGAGTGGGGGTCGGGGCTGGGTTTCGGCGGGTCAGGCGCAGCAGGTTCGAGCTCAATGTCGACGTCGAGTCCATCACGAATAGCACGCGCGCGCGCGGCGGCGGCAGGGTCGGTCAGCTCAAGCGCGTCGATACGTCGATCCTCGAGGAGTTGGTCGACGTCAATGCGGACGCTGTGGTGGATACGTTAGTGACGAAGAAAAATTGGAATAAAAACGCAAAAGGTACCTGAAATCAACGCATCGGCAAACGGCGGCCTTCCTCCCCTCGTCAAGCCAGCTGTCGAGCGCAAAGTTTACTGACTCTGCGCAGTTGAGGCCGAGGTTGAAGCCGGCGTGGTAGCCGCGGGGGTAAGTGATTACGAATTCGCCTGAGGGATGGAATTAATGAGCGTCGACGGAATGAGAAGCGCGGACTGACCGGCATGCTGCACGAGATGATTCGGGCGAACAGCACTCTGAGCCAGCAAGGTAGGGCTCGCGAGGAAGGATTTGTGCCGCAAAAACTGCGGACATTGTGATGTGTCTTTGGGGAAGTAGCCTGCAAAGTATTATGCGAAGGAATAAAGGACAGAAGAAACGGGACGCACCCCTCATCGTGCTCTCAAGCGCTCCTGCTCTTGCCTGTGGGATGGCGTACCAGAACTTTGGCGCGCCAAAATGGATATAATTTATTGAGAATAGGTCCATGTCCTCGACGTGCCATGCAAATGTCGCGCGCCACATGCCGAAGTACAGATACGGGGTGTTGACACCGGGAAGGCCAGTGCCCGATGGTAGCAAGCGCGAGAGGGTGGAGGGAAGGGAGGCGACGTTCCAGGCGGTAGTGGAGGAGAGGAAGAGCGAGCCCATGGTGTCAGCGCCGTACCACGCGGGCTTTCCGAGGCCGCAGTTGCGCCAGAACGCGCGCTCGAGCTTGGCACAGAACTCGGGGGTGTAGTCTGCGGCGGTGGTGCCCGGAGGAAGCCAGTGCGTGTGCGGGCGAAAAGACTGGAGAAACGACGCGTCCTTGTCGGCGCGTTCGATGCGGCGGTTGCGGGCCTTTGCGCTCTTGGTATCCAGGTCCTGCTTGGAATCGTCGGGATCTGGAGACGGGCTATTTGGCGGCGAGGCCATCGCGACGTCCGGCTGCTCGAGTTTAACCTCGTCCTTGTCGTCGACCGCGCTTTGCTTGTCCTCATCCTTGTCTTTTACCTGCCTCTTCCTGCGGGTGCGCTGGGGGTTCTGCACACCGCTGTTGTGGACGCCGACCTGGTCCTTGCCCGGTGCGCGGAACTCGTCCTTTGCACAGAGCTCGGCCCACTCGCGCACGCTCATCAGCTTGCGCTTCTCGACGTTCTCCTGGCGGAAAAGTCCTGCCCTTCCTCGCATGAACTGCTCGATAGGACTCTTGATCTTGACGCCCGCCAGTTGTTCTGTGATCTCCGGCAGCGCAGCGGTCCATTCTGGCGGTGGCACGACCTTGACGATGCCCGAGCGGCGACCCCAGCACTCGACCCGGTTCATATACCCTTCAAAGTCTGCAAATTCTGCCATAGACGGCTTGAAGACTGGGATGCCGCGATGTGCTAGGGGATCGTCCTCGGGTGACAGGTACGCCTTGTCCGAGTCTGGGGACGGGGGCAGGTGGCTGGCATCGCCATAAAAGTGGTCGGGCTGCACACACGGCTCAGGCGACGACGACCGCGACGCCGTCAGCGACGACACTGGCGACGACATGAAGACCACTAAATTCAATTTCCCGAATCGTCTCCGCCATCAATATGACCCGCCCAGCCCTCGTGACTCGACTCGTCTGGACCCACGTCTTAAGTCTGGGCTGGGCCCGAAAAATAACATCACAGCCATCACAGCTATCTCGCTCTCTTTTTCTCTCTTGGAACAACTCGGAAAAATACATCAAGAAAATGCGTTGCCTTTGGGAATTTGCGAACAAAAGAAAACGGAACAGCAAGGACACTCACACTTCACGGCACTGTGGCGGAGTGGTTAACGCGACAGATTCGAATCCCCCAAATCTGTTCCTCTTGTAGGGCGCATGTTCGAATCATGCCAGTGTCGTTTTTGCTTTTCAAAAGAAAAGCAATCATTACTATTACTTATGCTCGATGAACAATGTCCCTGGGTTTTTAATATTTCACTTCAGTCTCTTCTCCTTTGGCCTCGTCGAGGACGTACTGGTAGGCTCCAACTTCATAAAATTTCCAAGAGATTCAGTCAGAGGAAGATATCATCATATATGAGCAAGGCTTGCTGGTACATTAAACTCAGTGATCAAAATGGGGCAGCAGGTATCTGGAGTTGCACAAGGATCCCTCTTACGTTCCATGAGGCCCGGAGGGCAAGGAACATAAGAACATAAGAGTGTGACCCTGAGCAGAAATGATGAAGGAAAAAATGTTGACAAAAAATTCAAAGGCAGAGAGGGCCGAAAAGACCGAGGACCAAAATGCCCAAGAAAGTCCATCAGGAAAATCTGAAATTGTTAGGGGAACCCCCCGTCTGTCCGTCCGTCTGTCCAGCTCCGGCCCATCGCACTGCCCCGCTCCACACCCGATCCTTCGTCCAGAGCCCCTTCCTCGTCCAGCCTCGCCCGCCCGTCCGGCCTTTCGTCCGGAACCCCCACCCAGAACATCGCCCCGTCCCTCTGGACTCCGTTCCCCCTCGTTCCCCTTTGTCCGGCCGCTCGCACTGGAACGTGCTATGCAACCAAGCTCGGGATTAATGCCGATCACTTTGGACACATGCTACTGGCTAGTACCTATTTGTTATATAAACCTCGCCTAGCATGGGAATCCTCATCCTTTCTTCTCTTTGGATTCTCCCGCTAGGTGCATATTCCTAGACTCTGTATTTAGTACTGTCAATTGAGTTCTCTTTGGATTCTCCCGCTAGTTCCTGCGCTGAGCTGAGGTTGCCCTTGCAGCAGAAGAAAGGATCTAAGGGATCAACCGGTCAAGATTGGGAAGTTTGGTGTAGACTCGGACTCGGACCGCTACGCTAGCGCTCCTGCCTCCCCCACTTCCAATCTCGACCCCTCCTCCCCGATGGATGCCCCAATGCCCGGAAACGGGGCCGTGCAACCCGAGCTCCTGGATGTTCACATCCCGGACTCGGCTTCCGACCCGAGATCCGGCTGGCAGCGGTCAAAGACTCTCTCGCAAATATCAAAGTCTTACTCCTCTGCGTTTTACACAACAGCCAAAATCCACCCGCAGCTGTCTCCGTCCCTGCCGCTCCGGCTCCGGCAGCAGGTCCAGACTTCACCACCCTCACCCCCGCAGCAAAATCGGTTCTCCGACCGAACCCCCCAGCCGTTTTTGACGGCGACTGGACACAAGGGCGGATGTTCCTCCACTCCATCCTTACATACCTCTGACTGGTTCTGGAAGCCTTTATGGTCCACGGACAGGTCGTAGAGGAAAAACTTGTGTGGTACACCATGTCCTTTATGGCGCGAGACACGGCCGGACGATGGGCAGAACGGCAGTCCGCGATCGTTCCGTTCCCGTTCCTGTCCTGGGCGGAATTTGAGTCCGAGTTCCAGCTCCAGTTCGTAGAGGAGAATGAGCAAGACCAAGCTCTCCTCCGACTAGAGACCCACGGCTATTACCAAGGCTCCCGTGATGTCTACCGGTGCATGGACAACTTTGAGGAACTCGCTGCCACGGCTGGATACATGGACCCACTCGTCCATGTCACCAAGTACCGCACAGGGCTCGATCCACAGATTAATACAGCGATCACGACATCCGGAACTGCTCCGGCGCTGTTAGACTATGCTGGATGGCATCTCCGCGCTTTTCGCCAGTACGACACCCTCGCTCGTGTCCGAGTGGGAGCACCCCCGACTCGCACCCCGGCTCCAGCTGCACGCCCCCGCACTGGGACGTTCCTCCCAGTCCCCTCCTTCACGCCCGCTCCTAAAGCCGCGCCAGCTCTGCCTGGCATTCTGATGGATGTCGACCGGACCCGCGCGCGCTTCACGCCCCGCGCTTGCTTCTGTTGCAGCGCAGCCGGACACCTTGCCCGAGACTGTCCAACTCCCTCGGACGTCCAGCATGCGGACGTCCTGGACGAGGTCGTCCTCAACTCGGTGACAATTTCCTTGGAGAGCTCTTCGCTCGCCTCTCCACCACCGCTGGGCTCCTGGCCGAGCCGGAGACCGGAGATGCAGAGCCAGAGGGTTTTCTGGACACGGCTGAGTGAACGGTGTGCCCTCAGTCGTGTCTCCCAATTGTTACTCCTGCTTGTACAAAGATATACCCAATAAATCAGCAGCTGAAACGAAAGACGCACCCCCGTTCCGGCCTCCGTCCCCAGGCCGGAGCCCCCTATCCCCGCCCCGGAGGCAGAGACAGAACCCCTTCCTTCCATTCCCCGCGTCTGCCGCCCGAGGTGGGAGCGCAAACTACCCTGGCGGTACGTTATTGATTCCGTCGAGGGCCGGAACTCCCTGCACATTCTGTTGGAGATGCAATCGGTAGAGACCACAGCTACGATGTCCGCAAAGGGTCTGGTCGACTGCGGAGCGACCGGAGACTTCATCGACTCGGAGTACGTGATCTCCCATAACCTCCCCGTCCAAAAGCTATAAAAGCTTTTTTCACTGAAAATTATAAGGTTGAGAAATGAGTGTTACAAGAACAACCCTTACTTGGCCGTCCCGACTCGGTAAGATGAGCAGGATTGGGGAGTGACTTTTGGGGATCGGGGATCATCAATGAAGTGGAATAAAACACTAGGAGAGGTACAGAATAAACTACGTCCTAGCTACTGCTTAAATACTGTGAACGAAACCGTGTGATACTAACTACTATAATTACAACTACTATTGTCCCGGCAGTTACCACGCGTTATTGTTCCATCTATCATGCGTCAACCGTTACCTTCGCGCGAGGCGTAGCTTCACTGTTCCCACGTCAATGTCAATTCCACAATAAACATCTGTTGTCCGTTCTGTAACCATGTGTCCATGACTAAAGACATGCGCTTTCATGTATGGCGCCAAGTTCCCATGTCTTAAATAAGACCTAGAGGTACACGCGTGTCAAACGTCGTCATCCTCGGGAACTTCTTTGATCGTCGATAACGTCGGGAGGGCGGTATCACATGGGTCACGTGTGGTGTTGTCACGTGCATTGATCGGATCAAGACACTCGAATCGTGACATTTGATCGTCAGTAACGTCGGGAGGGCGGTATCACATGGGTCACGTGTGGCGTTGTCACGTGCGTTGATCGGATCAAAACGCTCGAATCGTGACATTACCCCCTCTCTAGGATCGTCGTCCCCGACAATAGGGATGAAGGTGTTTTCCTCTGGAATAAATAGCTTCTTCGTTGAGTATTCTAAGGTCTCTACCTTGGGTTTATAGCGTTTAACTAAATAATCCCACTTCCCTCGTGGAAGTATCGGCAACTTGGCCGATTCGAACTCCACTTCGGACCAGTTCCACCATTGTCCTTCTTCCTTCGACTGAGCATCAAGCTCCCTGACATTGATCCCATGCTCTCGGTTATACCGTTCCAGCATCTTTTTGACGTTTGTCAGGTGTCGTGTGGGTTCCCATGTGCGCTCCGAAAGTGGATAATCTTTCCACTTGATAAGATACTGGTATCCTCTACCGATCTTTCGGCGATTAATAATACTCTCTACGACATATTCCGGATTGCCTCCAATCATCTTGGGAGGCGGGCGCTTCTCCTTCCGGTGCTCCTGTTCCGGCTCAACATACAATGTGAGTTTTGACTCGTTAAATACCGGGTGGCTCTGATCCGTTTCCGGCAAACGCAGCTTGTAAGAAGATGCTCCGATCTTCTCAATGACTTCATAAGGGCCCAGCCGCTTATCGTCGAACTTCTTAGAAGGTCGATCTGTTTTGATATCCCGGCTATCAACATAGATGTTATATCCGTGTCCGGAAAGAAAAGGAAACGGCCGGATGGACGGTAGGCCGGAAAGCCGGAAGGCCGGATGGGCCGGAAGGACGGATGGCCGGACGAAGTGTCGGGGGGCCGGACGAAGGTCCGGATGTAAAGCGATACAACAAGAGTATAAGGGTACACCAATTAACTTGGCTCCGAAGGTCGGATAGAGAATAGGACAGAGGTCGGACGACGGAGCAATGCGGAGGCAAAGCACGTTAATTATCAATTAAGGTTACGTCCGAAGTAAGTACGTATTTATACTAAGTACGGAGATAGTCTGGATGCGTTCGGAGAAGAAGTAAAGACAATAGGAATAAGCGAAGACAATAAAGACAATAAGGAATACATGTGAAGCATAAGTCATATGGTCAAAGAAGGGGAAACGCTCAGTAATTCTTCATTGCGTAAAAACCCCGAGGGCGTGCGTCAACGACCAAGGCCGGACACAACAGCGAGTGATACGGACGCGAGCCGGAGTTCGGATGACACGTCCGGAAGGAAGGGAAGTCGGATCCGAGGATCCGGACGGAGGATAGAGAGATCCAGATGGAGCCGGATGAGTCCGGACGGATCCGGAGAGTGTCGGAGATGCACGGGCGTAACAGTATCCCCCTCTTAGGTTCCTTGCCCTCAAGGAACCAAAGAACCGGATGAATACGATAGCCGGAGCCAGATGATGACGGAGGAATGACGGAGGAGTGACGGAGGAGTGATGGCATGAGAATTAGAAGTCGAGGATGCGCAGCAGCACATGATGGTGAGAGCGTTGTTAGGGAAACAACAATTTTTTTTCCTCTTACCACCATGTCGTCTGCCAGCACCACGAACAACAACGGGGATAATACCCCACCGCCACCACCGTCGGGGAACAAAGGAAAAGGACGCGAGACGTCGACGGATGCCCGGGCCCGAGAGGAGGCCGAACGGGAGGAGGAGGAGGAACGACGGGGGAGGATCGCAGGGGGGGAGAGGGCGGCAGAGCCGGAGGAGGAGAGGGATGCGCGGCTGGCCAGAGAGGAGCGTGACCACCAAGTTGCGTTGCGTCTTGCCGCAATGGACGCGGAAACCGCGGCTGCGGTCTCTCGGGCGTCGCAGCAACGTGAACCTACGTCGAGATTTCGCCCGGGGTGT